TAGGTAGGTAGTAGTAAGTAAGTAAGTAAGTAATAAGTAAAAGTAAAAAGTTAAAAAATTAAAATTTTTTTTGTATTTCTTATCAGTTTATCGATAAACCGATAACCGAAGAGGACAAAATCGAAATCGATAACTCGATAAGGAAAATTTCGAAATCGAAATCGATAAACCGATAACAAATAATCGATTCGATTTATCGATAAACCGATTCGAATGCACACCCCTAACGTAAACAGCCTACCCTAATACAAGCATTAGTGGCTGCTTTTAGGGCTCAAACTCGTGACATATAAATCACAGAGAGAAAACCTGCGACCTATAGGTGTATCATATTTTAATTTGTTGTAGACGGGGGTTCGCAATCTGTCTTTTGTGTATTTGAACCTCAACTATTGTAGTTCATAGTACTTTATTTAGTGTCTAGATTGTGAACTAAATTTTTTGATGTGCGCAATAATTTGGTATATATTATCGCCCACAGTTGAGAAGTTATTAGATATTAGTGAAATAGTATCCCGTTCCTTTAGAATATATCCTAATTTTACGTGCACAATTACTATTACTAAAGCATAAAATGTTTCAATAAAATATTACATTGAGCCAGGTAAATTTAAGCGTTTAAAATAATAGTTGAAAATTTGTAAGATGTCAAAACGAGTTACAAATAACAGAAAATAGTACTGCATTAGTATCTAGCATCAGTAAGTAATTCAAGTGAAGCAGGCAAGAATTCAGAACTTTGTTAAGAGTGACTATAAAGCAAGAGGTGTAAAGTAACTTAAAGGGCAGCCCGGTGCACTAAGCTCCCGCTATGCACGAGGTCCGGGAAACGGCCGGACCACAAGGGTCTGTTGTACGCAGCCTTACCCTACATTTGTGCAAGAGTCTGTTTCAAGAGTTGTAAAGTAATTCTTGAGAATAAAAGGTATATTTAACCTAGTAAATTCAGTAAACAAAGTAGCATCTGTGACTGAATGAGAAGATATTTTCAGACTACACATAGTAGTTCAATTGAAGTCCTATTGCACAACCATCATGCAAATATGGAGTAACTTACATGTTACTTCCAGAAATTTTTGAACCTTCATTGCCAAGAGTCAATCCTGATGAAAGATTGAACTGGTCGCTCGCTAAGAAGTCTACTGGATTTGGTTGCTGGTATTGCGAGCTCAAGCTTGATTCCAATATCTGGTGGGGAAGTAGCGTATCTGCTTTAGTAAATGCGCCTACCCTTTGTTTCTTTGATGAGCTTTCACCTTTAGGGCTATTTATTGGTGAAGTCTCGTAGCAACCAGAATCTGGAGTAAGAGGCTCATTTTGCGAGGAGAATGATTGATCGATAGAAACGCTCTTGGTAGGAGCATGTTCTTGTATAGGCTTATCAATGAGAGGAGATTCGGATGTTGGTGCAGGAGTCCCTGGATCAGTTCGGTTATCGGATTCTGGACCATTTTCACCTGCTGGTGAAGGAGTGACCCCAGAAACAGGAACTTCTGAGAGAACTCCACTGAGCCGCTGTTGTTCTTCGATTATCTTCTTCAAGTACTTTCCTTGTGCTTCAATTCTAAGTTGTAGCTGTCTTTGAACCTGTAAAAGTAGAAAACTAAGTAGGAGCAGGCGGTGACAAGTAACCTTTAAAATCCCTAAACCTTTTGCAGGAATAAAATCCAAGTTCCATAACTTCCTGCTAATCAAACTGATATATGAGATGAAGTGAAAATGAAGCAAGTTATCTGTATAGAAATATCAGTTCATTTCACAAAGCGTGCTCAATATATTTCTGTTTTTGATGAAAGAAACCGAATCCAGATAGATTTCAACGGAAATGTTTGAAGATGTGTAACTAGAAGGCCACAAACAACATATCGGGGAAAATGGATAATTTAATTACTACATTTTTTAATCTAAAAATGAAATGCTGGATCGAGGTCAGCTACTATACATCTGATTAGTAAAAAGAGCTTCATTCACGGCTCCAGGGGGATAGTAAAGAGCAGAGGGGAAACAATGTTCTTACACGTGTTTGTTTCAATGGCAAGTTTAAGATAAAGGTAGAAGTTAATAATAGGATGACCAAAAATAGAGAAAAAGCAGGTGGCTAACATCTCCTTGAAACTTTGGTAACTGTTGAAAGACGAAACTCTCGAACAGGTAGAAAATAACTTCCTTGCTAATCAAACAACGTTTCTTCACTTTCTATTCCTCTCATGCTTTAATTAACCAAAATGATTCAAGAAGCTCCAGATCCTTGTAAGAAGAATGAGGATACAGGTTTTTTGTACTGTAAATATGGCGTTAGTACTCCACTTACTTCGTGCGTCTATACTACTATTNGTTAAGTGTGTCAATTACTCGAGATAGGTACAAGAAAGTAAGTAAGATGTGATAAATACTAGATAGTTAGTAGATAAGAATTATATTATGTCCCTTAATATGAACATGTGTCATTTATCTGCACACCGGCGCTAGAATAGAGCAATAATTCTCTCATGTCAAATTATAAATATTTCAGCTAAAGAAGAAAGATGATCAGAATGGAGAATGCAAGGCATTAGTAGGTATATACAGCAAATTAGTGTAAATTATGGAAGATTCAATGCTTGTGTCTTCTTTTTGATAAGGAGAAGACACAAGCATTGAATCTTCCATATTTAAACAGATCGACAAGCAAACAGGGAAAATCTACTCACGATGAACCATCCAAACTGGAAAGCATATCCCCTGATTCCTTCTTGTCAGAGGTTTTCCCTTGCAATCACAATTGCGAGCAAAAAAGGTATCAGAAAGTGTTTTACTGGAGAAGCATAAAATCACCACATTTCAAATGAATAAAGTCTCTTTAAAGCTTTAAGAAATAAACATCGTCGAGATTTTGAATTCTAAAGGAACCTACCATCCGATGAGGAATCTGGAAGGTATTTAGCAAGTCGATATTTCTGAATGAACAGGCAAATGAATGCAATTTAGTCACTACAACGAAATTCCTTTTTAAGAAAATAACGAGTCAGAAGACGTTTCAGAATTTTGCTGCTGCATGTGTACCTGTAAATGGCTTTTTACATGGTAAATAGTTAGCCCTTGCACACCCATGACTCGAAGAACACCTTTAGGGGTAGCACCTGAATCAGAAAAAGAAATAACGTCAGAAACATTAAATAATCAAAGCCCAAATGTAGAAATACAGGATCACACCTCCCCTAATGATTATTTATTGTTAGAGGTTTTCTAGGCGTTGCATCTAGAAGCGTAACAACTGATTAATGGCAACGTGTAAGACACACAGATAATTATAGGAAAAGATCAAATTATTTATGATCCACATATCTGCAGTACTATATTGTCCAAAGCACAGCAGGAAGGTTGCCTCCCTAGCAAGTCAATAAGGATTCTTTTCTCTTAAAGATTTTTTTTCCTTTCTAGAGTGCAAAGGCGGGTTAAGAGGGAAGATAGGAGCACAATTACAACTAAACTCGAGAACTTACGGTCCGGGCCACCAAGTTGTGCGACGGCATCAACGAAACGTTCATGAAGCTCATGGGTCCAACGTAATCGTTGCTTTCCAGCAAGACTAGGATTTATCGGCTCCATTGTGTTGCCACCAGCCTAATATCTTACTGTACGCACTGTAACACTTTTATGAACTAAGCTTGAACTGGGACGCCTTTAGCCAGATATGCACACTAGAATCAAAAGATAAACACACACTTTTTGAGAAAGAAAAAACAAAAAATCCATAACATATGAAAAGAGAACGAATCAGAAAGATAAACACACACTTGAACAGTACCAATAATTCTTTCATCAACTAATTCTCCAGTGAACATTCATCAACACTGAATGGATGTTAGAGCGGGTATCTAATCAGTCTATTCTCTGTAAGAATGTACAATCTAGTAGAACTACCAGGTTAACCTGTACATCGTAAAATACATTAGGCAGGTATTTAGCAGCATCTAATATTTTCATGTCGTGTATTATACAGAAAAACATAGCTCCAAGCTGACTCGGAACTTCAGCAGGAATTGAAGATCGATGAGCAGGCCACCAATAAGGCACAAGTGATTTACTTATAGTGCTAACCGGTATCAAACAAACCACAAGTTTTTTATTAACGAATACTACACTTTAATTTCAATGGAAAAAATGCATTTAATTTCTAAAAGTAAGATTAAATATTCTCATTTAAATCTAGAGGTAGGTGAGTTCACTTTAGATTGAAGATTTTTTTTTATATAGGTGAGATCCATTATCTAATCACATCAAAGTTTTATCATGTAATAAATTTTCCTCCATTCAAGAGAATAACGGATCTTCATTGATCAGCCCTAAATTATGGTATCTTTATTGCTTACCCATTTTACAGGAGAATAAAACAAAACAGTCTATCCTTCAGCAGAAGCCTTAGTTGTATCAACCATGAAGGAAATATTCATGCCATGATGACACTGAAATCTTAAACACTCTAGCTAATTAAAGGCTGTATATATAAAAAATGACCTCTTCTTAATCTATCAGGAAAATTAGGATGTACAATATTGATAGTTATCTTTCCATCCCTATAATGACAAGCAACAACTGACCCATAGGAAAAGGAAAAACAGAAGTTTCCACATTCATCTTTTAAATTACTTTTTTTAGAACAAGTGGAAAAATACAGTGTTCTCAAATCTATAGAGAAGTGATAGCGAGTATTCTGGAGGCATGCATGAAAGTGCATATTCCCAAACTACAGGAGTGATTCCAAATCAAAGTGAATAAAGAACTAGCTTCTGAAGACTGATATTTAGGAAAATGATTTATTACCAAGTCAAAACACAATTGACAGAAAAAGCTGGGTTATCCAGCATGCAAAACAAGGGTATGCACGGTCTACCAACTTTCTCATAGAACAAATTATAGGTGGAGTGAGTTTCTACGGGAACCAATGGATTTGGTTTCCTAAAGCAAAAGAATAGCTAAAATTGAAGACTGAATAAACTCTAGTCCATGCACATACACACCACAGGAGAAAGGCAGAAAGCAAACCAAAATAAGGGAGGATAAATGAATGTGAATAAGAGAGTAAACACGACAAGAGGTGAAAATAACATCCACTTCAGCACTCCATGCAAATATCACAACACACTTACATATAAAACAATATCAGTTTTATAACAGTTTCTAAAGACGCATGGAGTGTATCACTCTCAAAATGATTGCTCCCACAGAAAACATAATCTCAATCACAAAGGAATAAGAAACTTCAAAAGGTGAATACTTTTGGATGTAAATAAACTTAGTGTATGGGTTATTAGTATTACCACTATGCTTCAGAAAAGTTGATAGCTCACACGAGCAAAACCATTACCATATGAATAGTAATGCATGGATAACATTTACGTACACTTTTAATTTGTCCTGCGTAGCACTGAAAGAAGGAATATATAAGTCAATAATACACAATTCAACCTTTCCGCATCTTTAATATATAATCATGAAACAGCATCTATCTTAATGGACAAATGATCATAGTTTCTCAAAAAATTTCCTCACACTACAAGAAATACTTGTTAAGAAAGAGACAGATGTTCACTCCTATGTAATCGGCTACATCCTAAATTCGAAAGTGACAAGAAGACTTTACCGTAAAAAATATGATCGATTAAAATTTGAAAAGAAAAAGAGGCTTGAAGAGTGCAGATGAATACAACTTATGCTTGGCTACTACGTGTTTTGTACCCGAACATAATATCCATAAAACCTAGATGGCGATTTCATCCCGCTATTAGATAATATTCTTACGGATGAAACATCGAGCCCAAAATTCAAAGGACAGAACCAACAACCAAGCTACATGTTTATACTCAAGGGGTACAAAAACACCTTGTTATAAATTTCCTTTGTTTACTTCAAGTACATTGTTTTAACCTAAAATTTTCTTTCTCTGATGTATGAAAAATGTTAAGGAGAAATAACAATTTTACCACCAACTACCAAGCATCTCAAAGCCTTAAACAGCCCAAAAATTAGCTTCGACAATCTATCAGTAATTATTAACTCATCATTAAAGAACACATTCTAAACCATTTATTAAAAAGGAAAACTCATAATTCAGTAAACTAAGATTAAAATTTTCCTAAAACAGCTAAATTTCTCCATCTTTTAACCTATTTCTCTAAATTCAAAAACTTGTATGAAATATTACCCCAAGAAATACAACAACATGCTAAAATTTTCTGATAAGAAAACCCTTTTCATTTCACTAGCTGAGCAACAAACACTTTACATAAAAGACATCATTTCAGCTCCAAGACTAAACATTTTTCACCTTCCATAAAATTTCACAAAATCACCTGAAATTTCCATCAAATTCAGCTACAAGAAATAATTTTTGAAGAAAAAGTTAGCTCCAAATCATTCTAGTCAACTCTTTTACCTTATCAAGAATATAACCCTAGTTGCATGTGTAAAAATCACACACCAATTGCTATAATTCAAAACCAAAACTTCAATCTAAAACTCCCAAACAACAAAACCCCTCACCTAAAAACTCAATAAAATCACCCAAATTTCATTAAATTTGGCCAAAAAAAGGATAGAATTTTGAAGAAAAAATTAATGATCTTCACAGAAAAAAACTGACTGAAAATCTTACAGAGCTGTAAAAGATCTCTCTTTGTTTTCCTTTTTGATGAGATCTTCGAATTTGGTTCTCTCTTTCTCTCTTTTTGAGTGCGAAGTGATTTTATTTTTTTAAATTTCTGGAATATTTATTTAAGAGGAAAAATATAATTATAACATATATGGGCAAAAAGGAAGAGAACGAGAGTCGTGAAAGTGAATTATTTAAAGCTGACCGCGAATTGGATGTCAGTTCTGCCCCTATGACTGCCTGTGGTGCCCGAGGTGAGAAGGACATTGACAAACCCTTTTTTTTTTTTTTTGAAAAAAGTTAATACTCTATAAAAATACTTGAAAGAGGATATTTTTTTTTTGTGTAGTTAAACTGACAAATTTTTTATGTAACCAAGTAATAATATGTATAACCGCCGGCTCATTTGGAGAGTCCGAAACTTTTCTAATGCTTTTTTGGATAAAAAGCACGTTTCTACTACTAAAAAAAGTTACATAACTACCTAAAACGCAGTACTATATTGCGAATTACTTTAACGGAAATTTAGCCGTTAGAGTAATTTGCAGTATAGTACTGCGTATTATTAAATTTTTTTTAAAGGATATCGCAGTACAATACTGCGAATTACTTTTCACTCTGATTTTTGGGCCCAGCTTTATTTTATTAAAGGAATTCGCAGTACTATACTGCGTTTAAGTAATTCGCAGTATAGTACTGCGAATTCCTTTAACAAAATAAAGACCCTTCTTATTCCCTAAGACAACCACAGACTCATTCCCCCCATTAAAAAACGATCTGCTCCCCCACTGCTGGTGTCCCCTCCCTCCCCCTCTCCCCCGCATCAATTAAAAAAAAAAAAATTGGGCCCCACCCATCACCTAAAAAGCAAAGAGTGTAGGTCCCACACACAAGAACAAGCTTTGGATTCCTCTTTCGGGTGCAAAAATTCGATTTCAATCCAAATTCAAAAAACTTAAATCGATGGTATTTCGATTTTGTTTTATGTCGAAATTTCCGATTTTTGTTTATGTCGAAACCGTATAGTTACATGCATTTTGTATTGTTTAAATGTGTTTCCATGTTAATTTGTGTTATGTTTGTGTTTAAATTTTGGTATTCTTATTTATTACCGGATTGATTTATTAGCTTTGGGACAAAAAAATTATAAAATTTGATAAATAATTTGTATTGTTATGTTATGTTTTTTTTATTTGGGTTAAATAATAAATAAATATTATTTTTTAGTTTGTTGTTCCATATTTGATGTTATGTTTGTTGGTTTTTATATGTAATAGTGGCATTTTAGCGTAGTAAAATAAAGAGTTAGCGTTGTAAAAATAGATGTCTTTTTTTGTGTAGTAAAAATATAGGAGCCTTTTAGCGTAGTAAAATATAAGCCTTTTTAGCTTAGTA